TGCGATCCGAAGCCAGGAGACTCTTCCGGGTCTCCCACGCGGGTGCAGGGTCCCAAAGCTTTGGGCCATCCTCGACTGCTTTCCCAGGCCACAGGCAGGGAGCTGGAAGGGAAGCGGGGCTGCCGGGATTAGAACCGGCGCCCATATGGGATCCCGGGCGTGCAAGGCGAGGACCCCCAACCACTTGCGCCACCGCGCCGGGCCCGACTTGCATTATTTTTAACATATTGTTTACTCAATACTATGTCAATTAATTCCATAACGTTGTATATTGATGCTGATGTTTTGTTGGGGCTTTTAACTGACCAGAACTTTACTCTGTTAGACCTACCTTCAGACCAGAGAAGGTCTCCCCAAGAGGCCACTGAACTTATCTGGACAATAAGATGCTGGACTTTATGCTAGGTATATGCTTGCAATGAAGGAATCTCAACTGAACTTGAACTGTGGTTATGCAGCAAGGTGGAGGAATCCACTATGGGGGGAGGGGTGTGGGAGGGGTGGGGGGAATCCCCAGTGCCTATAAAACTGTATCACATAATACTATGTTAATAACAATTTAAAAAAAAAGCTGATGGGCTAAGAAGTACTTCATTGGGTAATAGCTTAATTCATAATTTAAGAAAATCTAGCCCTATACTCAATTGATATTCGATTGATACTCTTACTTAAAAGTGAAGGGGTGCTGCAGCATGACAGGCCAGGCTGTTGCCTAAAGTGCCTGCACAGCACGTGGGTGCCAAGTCAACCCTGGCTGCACCACTTCCAATCCATTTCCCTGCCAACACACGTGGGAAAAGCAGCAGATGCCCCAAGTGTTGGGTATCTGCATTCACATGGGAGCTGGAAGAAGCTCCTGGCTCCTGGATTCAGCCTGACCCAGCTCTGGCTGCTGTAGCCATTTGGGGAGAGAACCAGCAGGTAGACGTTCTCTCTAGCTCTCCCTGTCTAACTCTGCCTTTAGAGGAAATAAATAAGTATTTAAAACATGAACTATGTAATTCAGCTATTGGTCAAGTCCACTGTTAGTTAATATCTGTTAACTGTCCTCTCCCTGCTCTATGTTCTGCTAAGGACAGGGTCAGTCGGTTGGTATCTCTAAGATTTATTTGAAAGGCAGAGTTACAGAGAGATCTTCCTCACCTGGTTCATTCCCTAAATGGCCACAACTAGGACTAGGGCAGCTAAACCCAGGAGCTTCCTCTGGCTCTCCCATGTGGGAGAGGGGTCCAAGCACTTGCGCCATCTTCCCCTGCGTTCCCAGGCACATTAGCAGGGAGTAGGATTGAAAGTGGAGCAGCCAAGTCTTGAACTTGTGCCCACTGGGATGCTGGCCCTGCAGGTGGTGACTTGACCTGCAACTCCACGGTGCCTGCTCCAAGGGTAGGGAGTTATGTGGGTTTTGTAACTGCTGGCTGATGAGGATGAGTGGATCGGTGAATGAATAATTCTGTGTGTCATCTGTTACATTCTAGTTGGTCTGTGTCACACAGACCTAGCCTGTCACTGGAAAATTTAAAGGATCTGGGAATATGGGCAGTTTTAAGTTTCTGATCCATAGAATGGAATGTGGATGTAAAGGCATCATGCAATCATAAGGCCTAAGTAAGTTTTGGAACTTATGAACCTCGGTTTGCTTGTCTATAAAATGGGTGCAACTGAATGATCTACTTTGTGTGGGATGCACTTAGGCCAAAGTTTGGAACAAAGATGATGTACCATAGTGAACACAAATGGTCAGTAACCCATAGGGTCTTTCCAGGGCCTCTCTGAGCTGCCAAGAGGGGGCCAAGCTCACCATGCAGGAGGTTGGCAAGGCAGAGAAGTTCACACCTGGGCCCAGAACTAAGGCTGGTCTGGGTCTCACCAGCATTCCCTCACCCTCTGGAGAAGAGGCAACAGTAAAATAGGAACTTGCCTTTCATTCCTGAGGACAAGGGTGCCTTATTGAAGCACTGGAACTGGGCTCTCTCAGCTATTCTCCCACCTGCAAATTGTCATCAAACCTCATTAAATGCTTATCTTGACCCTGACAAGCTCAAATGGATACACAAAGTTGAAGGCTGCTTCCGTACTACCCTTGGGGGCAACCTCTACCCACCCAGCTTTGCATAACAGAGGAGCCATAAATCCTCCACCCCCATTCTGTGCCCACTCCCCCTTGCCACCTTTCCTTGTGCTGCCCTGGTCACTGGTGGAGTTCTCTGTTTCTTTCATCCATTTTGCACGCTGCGCTTGCATAGGACTGGTCTAGTCTCCTGCTGGTTGTAACTTACTGAGGGCCAGACCTGGTCTCCACGATTGTGTTCCCTTCTTGCTCCTCCCTTGACGGGGACTGGGGGTGTCATGTGCCTCCAGCAGCGAGAGGGCCAGAGCAGCTACAGAGGAGGAGGAGAGCCAGTCTCAGGGAGAAAGGAAAGGTTGTTGTCAGCACTCCCTACCCTCTGCCCGTGGCTCAGGCTGCACAGGGCCAGGCGGCTGCAGGGAGGACTCACAGCACGGGACCACACACGGGGCCGTGGGGCTTTCCACCCTGGCATGTTTCACGGCAGGCTCCTGACATGGTAGGCCTTGCTGACACCAATTTACAACTGTGGAGGGACGCGAGTTTAAAGAGTTGCAGTGACCTGGCTGAGGAAGAGCTGAAACCAAGGACCACTTGTGCCGGCTCCCTGTGTTGGTTGCCTGGTGCACGCACCCCGACCTCTCGGGCCACACCTGAGACCTGGCACGAGTGTGAAACAAGCAAGCCTCTTGTTCTGTTTCCTGTAGTCCCAGCAGTACACCAAGGCGAATTTGTAAATGGAAATTTTAAAGCAAAAAAGTACATTTTACTTACAGTTCTGCAGGCTCCAAGTCTTAAGAGCAGAGCAGCGAAGTGTGGCGGAGGTGCACATGAGAGCAAAGGCGAGGAGGCCAGGCACAGGTGAACTTTATAACAAGCCCTTCTCGTGCTAACCCACCACTCAGAGACACGTGGCCTTCTTTTTTAACAAGCCAATCATGTGTTAAAGGCCCCACCTCCGGACACGGTCATCTGGCAACCAAATCTCAACATGGGGTTTCGGAGGGGACAAGCCATGTTTGACCCATAGCGAAAGATCATACCGTGTTCTGGGGAGTAATTGTTTTGGGGGGATTGAAGCACAATGCACATGAAGTACATACATAGATTCTAAGGGCCAAGTTCAATGACTACTGCCAGGTGAACCGCTTGTTTCCAGCCCCCAGCTCAGGAAGCAAAGGGAACTAGCACCCCAGAAGCCCTCCGTGCTCCCCTATCCACCTCTCCTCCTGACAGGAACCGTGAGCCTGGTTTCTGGCTGCCGACTGGTTTGCATTAACACATGATAGAATGGAATCGAACCACGTGTAAGTCATCCTGACTTCTTTCAACTGTAAAGCTCAGCTGTGCTAATGCGTGTGCCTGTGAATCATTTGTTCTCCCTTCAAGATGGTCATTTCTTCTGTGAAAATCACAACTCACACATCCGTCCTCTAGCCGACACACACATCAAGGGCACACAGATGTGACTTTAGTGGCTGCTGCTACAGTTTTCCAAAATACTTACCAATCTCATACAGTGAAGGTTCCAACCTTTGCTTCTCTTGTGGCTGCTTTTTGGCAGGTGTGAAGTTTGATTTAACTTGCATTTCTCTGGTAACTAGGGAAATTAATGGTTCTGAGCTTTTATTATCTGGTGCTTTAAAACATGGAAATTTATCAATCTCCTTACCTATCTCAACCACTACTAATGTCACACATCAAACATCCTGTAGGCTCATGAAAAAGCCACCATTTTCCTGGACAACAACACTTCCTGGTATTCTTTCTGCTAATAACAAATTTTTCAGTTGTCCTGGGAGGCAGACAACTGTCAGGACCAGACTCCTGGAGCCATCACTGCCCGCAGTGTGCATCAGCAGGAACCCAGCAGAGAGAGCCAGGCAGAGCCTCAACCCAGGCCTTTGGACATGGAATGCTGGTGTCTTCAAGTGGCATCTTAACAGCCATATCAAACCCATGCCTCTCTTTCTGTTTTTGCTTTTGATTATTATTACTTGTGAGGCAGGAAGTTGGAATGAGGACCCAAATACAAGTGCTCCAAGGGGTGTCCCCACTGGCATCTTAACTGTTAGGCTAACCACCTGTCCCAAATAGCTTTGTGAATAAACATCGCCTGCTTGTTAGCCAGCTGTCCATCTTTTACAGCAGATACCTCAGAACAATCCTTTAGCTTAAAACCAACACAGCACAACACACTATCCCATTACCTGGGATAAAGCGCTTTACACTGCAGTTGGATTTCACACAGTGCCTTTGCCTTCTGGCCACCTCACAAACAGCCACTACTGCCAGCATGATGGGCTGACACTCCTGGGGAACTTCTGAGTATCAAACATTCTTGAACAACCTGTCATGGAGAAAGAAGCAGAGGAGCCTACAGGAGTCAAGTGAAAAGGATGAATGGCAAGAATAGAATCTGGTGTGAAAGAAGAGCCCAGAGAGTCCCAGGACAACCAGGAAGGACCAAAAAGGTGGGCTGAAGAGGAAACCCCAGGCAGCTTTCTGGGGATCCCAAAGGCACGGTGAGCTGAGCAGCAGGCCAGGAACTGAGTCTCCAGGAGGTTGCAAAGAAGTCCAGCACTTGCTCCTTTGCACTGACAAACTCATAGATGCCACCTGCTTTCTTGTCCATCTCCCAGGATTCTAAGATGAACAGGATAGTTCCCCTCCAGGCCAAGGTAGCTGGGACCACGTCTGGTCTGCATAAATCTCCTTAATCCCTTGGACTGGCAGCCCCAGAGACACAGAGCCCAGGCCAGGCGAGAATGCAAACAGGACTACCTATAGTCAGGTGCATCTCCCAAGAAGGAGAAGGCTCATCCAATATACAGTTTGGAATCTTGGACTCGCAAATACAAGAAAGGCAAAGGCCTCACTAATGCCCTTTGGCCTCTCATGAAGGCAAGAATGAGCCCTCCTGGAACTGGGACGATTCAATGTCATTGTATTTATTAGGTTCTGAAACAAATACACATTCACATCCTTTTGAATACAGTACATTTGGCACAATAATGTTTACAATGAAATAACACTAATGAATGGCAAGATATTAAAATTACATCCAGAAAGAAAATGTACAAATAAAGCATCACAATACAAAAAAAATCCCTAAAATTGAATACACTTTATATTTAGCCAGAATTATTTTTGCACATAATTTAAAAAGAGGTAATTTTTTAGCTTTCTTTTTTTTTAAAGCAAGAGTGCGTGTTTTTTTTTTTTTTCTTTCTCACCATTGGAGGAAAAAGTTAGGTTACCACTTCATAAAATCCATAAGAGAACAGCTATCCTTCATATATTTTTTTGGCATTTTTGGACTCATTTTTTTTTATGAGAGAGAGGGAAAAGTGGCAGAAAGGCTAGAAGGAAATAGAAGGAAATGGCAGAAACTGAACATCGTGTCTGCTTCCAAATGCTTATTGAAGATGGAAGAATGAATACTCAAGGGGCACACCAGCCTTTCTGTGCAGACTTACGTTGATCTAAATTCTACTGATGTGAGAACATTAGTAGAGGCATCTCAGCCAGCCAGGCTTTGGGTGCTAAGAGGGAGCCAGGCTGCCCAGCTGTCCAGATCTGCTGGATGGAATGTATTTGTTGACTTCCTAGCGAAAGTGCCAATTGTCCCATAGGAAAGATGCAACACCCCACTGCCTGGCAAATACCAAGTGCTTGGAGTAGGCCCTTTGGCATTGCATTAGAACCTGTTTGGTTGTCCAAAGTTCATCATGGTGCAGGAAGCAGAACAGAAAGAGAGAGAGAAGAGAGGGAGAAAATGAGCGAGCAGTAGTTATGCATGAATATGATGGGCAGTATTGTCATGTCTCCCTAAAAAATGAGATGATGCCACCATGAAGATGTTTCTGTGCTTGTACTCAACTCCGGAAGAAAATCTCTCCCTAGGATGTCAAGTTACCGAAGATAAATTAAATTAGTCTAAAAGTTCTTCATCACTTCACTGGTATGCCAAACACATGAACTGATACAGCATAATATTTAATATTTGCAACTATCGTAAGAATACATAATAATTACACCTGAGTTTAAAAAACAACAATAACAACAACAAAATGAAACAAAAGAGAACTGAAGGTCACCACCAGGAGTGAAGGCTGAGACCAGCCCAGATGCAACAGGGACACAAACTCTCTGTGGGCTCAAGACGGTCACTACCTGAGCTTTGGAATCCCATCAGAATCACCCCTTTCTCTCTGAGTCTAACAGAGCACAGGAGAGCTGTGTGTGAGACTTAACATAGCTTAATCTATGTGTGCATCTTTTAAAATAAACCCAAATGAAATAAACAATATGGAGGACCCCTCCCCTTCCCCCTCAAAGAAACACATTTATCTCTCGGTAACTTGAACCAATACAGAGTATTGCACCTGGACATTACTATAATTATTCTTTCATACATTGAAGTTTTATAATATGCCTGAACATGCAGCAGTTGATACCTCTATATTCAATGAATGAATTCCACAGGCCTTGCAGCAAACACTATATACAAAAATCTCAAATGTACAAAAAGGCAGAAAGCTTCATTCGTGCCACTTTGCCACTCACAAGTATATATATTGAGGGAGTGCTGGGAGATCCACGTGCAATAGGTGGAATGGATTCCATTCCCTGCTCAGCCAGTTCAGGAAGATAGGTGATCCGATGACCTCTGGGAAACATATACACAACGCCATAGAGACCCTTGAAAATCAAAGAATACAATGCTGTTCACATATCTACAGGAGGTAACATCACATCCATGAGATGGTGTCCATGTGTGTTGGCACCATGTCACCCAGAAACAAAACTCTGAGTGCATCCTGCCACACGGTCAGTTTTCAATCCCATTGCTCTTCGGTCTCCTGTCCTCAGCATCACCCATGTTGAGTCTCATTCTGCGTGTTCCCAAGGCAGGTATTTCCTATTTCACTTTACACGTTTAAGGTTGAAAAATCACAACACAGTAGTACTACCATTTTGTAGAAGTGCGCAAAAATAACACACTGCTGCAGAACACAAATAGCATTGGTGCTGGGAACACAACATGACTCTGGAGAGAGAAACTGGGAGGTGAGCTTGGTTAGAACTCAAGGTGGTGGCCAGTGTTGTGGGGTGGCCTCCGTGTTCAGGCAGAACTGCAGTCATGAAGACCACCATTTGTCTCTTTTCCTCTCGATTCCTTCATGTACCACGAGAACATCGATGGCAAAAACCTTGAACAAATGGTTTCTCACTGTGTATTAGCCCTTGAATATATATCTACCTGTTAATATCAGATATTCATAGTGGAATTGATATCTTGTGGCCAATTAAAAAGCAAATTGGATAATATGTTACCAAATGTTAACAGAATTCACAATCAGATCTCATTTCTTTTTTTTCACGAGATGTTGACTTACGTGACTTCAACATGCTCCAAAGCTGAAACCAAAGCAAGCAAGGAGTAGCCACTGCCAAGCAAACCAGCACAGCTAGCCAGCCTGTGTTTCTCCCTGTCTCCCTCCACCACAGGGATGCCGGGGGAGGAAGCATTAATCTCCTGTCCTGGGAAGAAGAGCAGGGATGACAGGCCAGTGGGGACAGTGGTGACAAAGCGACAGGTGTCAAGACTCTATGTCAGATGGCAGAGCCACGGCTTTTTGTTTGCTTGCTTTCTTGTTTTTCTTTGTGGTCAAAGAACTGCAGTTGCTTTGCCACCAGGAGTCCCCCAGGTATAGGCCCTGGCTTGGCAACAGTTGCACACAGCAGTGTGCACAGCCAAGCCCTGACCTATTGTGAGTCTACATGAACCAAGAGTGCCTTTTGGTCACCAGGTGGGAAGGGAAGGGTGGCCCTGGGTAAAGGGGATGCAATAAATAGAGAATGGACACGGGGCTGGGACTCCAGGGAGAAGTAGTTCGAGACCTTCCAAGCCTCCAGAACACAGGAATCTTGTGGTTGTCTCTTCTTTCAGCTTCTGCAGACTCCAGCTGGAGTAGCCTCTCAGGGCATCAGGTCTTCACCAAAGTAGGAAAAGCCTTTGAATTCCTCCTGGTTGATCTGCTTCACAATGGCTTCGTCTACCAGTGTGAGCACTGGCTCTTCCCGCGTAAAGTCTTGGTCAAAGTTATTGACGTCTCTTTTGGTTTTCTGTGGGAAGAAAAGAGAAAACCCTGAGTGGCAGCTGACCTCCACCCTGAGGCCCACCCATGAGGAGTGAGCATCGCACTGTCAGTCTCTCGCCCACGTGGGCCTCTAGCTACTGGGAGCAGACACAGGGCTGTTCCAAATGAGGCAACGATGGATGGCCCCAGGACCCAGCGGTGACACAGGAGAAGAGGAAGAATGAGTCAAGGTGAGAAGGAAGAAGGGGCGAGAGGAATGATGGAAAAGCAGGGAAGTGGGATTCCCATAGACTCAGGGGTGTGTGTGTGTGTGTGTGTCCACACACACTCACACTTGGGCAGAGTGGGACACAACCCTCCCATCAAATTCCCTTCCAGCACTGGCTGGAATGTTCTGGCTCCATTAAGATTTCCCTCCTTGTGACCCAGGGAACAAACTTGAAGTCCCTGGAGGCAGCATGCCCTGCTGCTGCCAGGCCTGCTCCCTGTGATACCTGTGCCTGCACCTTAAGGCTGGACTGCTTCCTGGGATGCTCCCTTCCATCCCTACCTGCTCTCACCATGAGCCCTGATTTGTGTTCCGTTGCTATTTTCTGTTATTAATCCCAATACATTGATTTGCCATGATGTGTTTTTGCTTCGGTTTTGGCCAAGAGCTTCTTAATGGCAGGGGCCTTATTTTATTCAATTATGGATTCCAGCCAAATCCTCAGCTCTAAGCATCCATTGAGCAAAGCCAGAAAACTCATCGCTGACTCCAAACCTCGGAAGGAGCTTCACCTATTTGGACGTTCAAGTCCTTTGCGTATAACCATGCTGTGGCATTATGTATACATCTCCAGGAGGGTCAATGGATGGCCTAGCTTACAGAACTGATTTAGTAGGGAATAGAATCCATTCCATTTGCTGCATGTACATTTCCCAGCACCTGCTAAATACATGAACTAAGTATAAATCCTTCTGTGCCTGCAGGGTAATGGTGAAGAGCAGCAGTCAGCCAAGCTACACACTAAACCCGAATTCTGGAGAAAAGCAGAATGTGTAAAATACTGTCACCTGTCATTCAGTGGAGTTGAGAAGCAGAGTTTTCCCATCTAGAATACATTTCTTGGTTAGGAAGCATTTCACAGAGAAGACAGGACTTGGTCTAAGACATGAAGAATGGGGTTACAATTGTGTTGGAAGAGATGGGAGGAAGGCAGCACTTGACAGGAGGAAAGAAGGAATGAGGTGGGGGCAAGAACACAAAAGACAGATACGTAAGACAAGGTGTTTGCTGAGTTGCCTGGGGCAGAGCCAGATGGGGACATTAGCAGGGCAGAGTGGAGTCAAAGTTGCTCTGCACAGGCCTTTAATGCCAGTCCTCTCCCCTCTCCCAATGTATAAGGTAATGTGGAAGGACTGGATACTCCATCGTATTTTTCAGACCCTGATGGACTGGTATTGCCTCAGATTAGTGACCAGGAGGAGGGAAGAAATTCTATGGAAAGATGAACATTACTGTTTGTAGGAGGAATTAATAATACATCATGCTCCATGGAAATAAGAAACCTCAAAGATGCTACTTACTAGTCCAGGATAAAGCTAATTTTGAGGCAAAGTTGTAGTTCATATGCTGCTCTTGGAAATATTCCAAGCACATTGGCAAATAAAAGTTCTAGAGCAAGAAACCCAGGTTCCCTATTTAGGCTTACCTTTCTCAAACTTGGCACAACTTTAGTTTTTTCCTAAAAAGTTTATTGACAATTGTTCTGACTGCAAAATCATGAAGAACATGGCCTAGGAAAATGCTGGTCTATAGTTTGCAAAATTTCATCATGCTCATTGCACCTCACTCAGTGTTTTAGAATGGGTAGGCTTCTGACCCTGACTTTGTAGGTGAGGAAGCAATGGCCCAGAGAGGTTCAGTGACTTGTGTTGGAGGAGCAGTCATCTAAGGAGGAAACAGCAGAGCCCAGACTCAAATCTTGGTCTCAGCCTGTGCCTCTCATGGTGTGGCAAGGTTGGAAAATTAGGCACCAAAGAAAAAGGAGAGGCATGGCAAGTGTCAAGTTCAATTAGGAGACATTAGATAAAGACATGGGGTTAAAGCAAAGAGAAAGGCCTACCAACAATGGCAGGAGGGGCTGCGGATCACCAATGCAGTAGGTAAGAAGGTGAACTGGGCCTCTGTTTCCATGTGACCCCAGGCAGGATGGCACAGGGATGAGTTCATCTCTCCTATATTTCTACACCTTCAATCTGGCTTGGCCTCTCATCTCTGAGCTTGGATAACTTAGTTAAGTAGATCTCAGAAGCTTGGGAGGAGGCAGAAGGGAGTCACAGAAAACCCAAAAGATTTCCAGAAGGAAGATCTGCAGCTGAAGGATGCATATGTTGTCCTCCCACCCTTCCACCCCTGAACCCGATATAGGAAAGCCCCTGTGCCAGGAGGGCTCTCTGTGCTTCTGTGGTTTGTACAGAGCCAGAGGAAAAGGGAGGCCTTGAGCAGAGTGGGACTCCAGAGAGGAACAACAAAGACCGTCCCCAGAATGACACACATGGGTGGGAGGCTGGGGCCTGGAGAAAGGGTGTGACTATGCCTCTCTGGAGATTCCTATCGAAGGAGGGAGGGATCCACTGACCGACACTCACAGCAGGAGCCTGCCTGCCTGCCTGCCTGCCTGATGGGGTGAAACAAGTCCAAAGGAAGAGTTAGGAGGGGAGGTTGGCACCAACTGGGAAGACCTGGGGATGGTTCCAGAAAGCAACCAGGGGCCATCCCTGCTGGGAGCTGCAGTGCAAGGCCAGGGGGACATAAAGAAGAGAGAGAAAGAGTAGGGCAGCAGCAGGGAAACCCTCCAGCTGCCCTGGCTAAGGACGGGTCATGCTAGAGTCTACAGTGTTCTCAGGGGTACCGTGACCTCCTTCCTGGCTCCCTTTCTACCGACCACTACTGAAGTCTCTATAAAGAACTCCAGCAAGAACTGGGCTTCTCTGGCCTTGGTTTTCCATGCATAGTTACTGATCTATGCCATAGCTATCGGTCAGCAGAGAAATGGGGACTTGCTTTTGGTTCCTGAGGCCAACCAAGCACAGTCATGGACCCAGATGCTCTGAGGATAAGGTGTCTTAATTTTACAACCTGCTAGTTGTGCACCAAGTTGCCAGGCTACACAGACAAGCCAGGAATTGCATGCCCAGAGGACTTCTTGGGGTTCCAGATGCCTCTGTAGCATTCTAGAGAGCTCTACAGACTCAGTTTGCCCACCCACCGCCTTGTTTGATTCAGCTGGCATCCTGAGGAAAGCCTCTTCTGGAGCTACTTTAGGTGGATGCCAGTTACCCATGTCCAGTTATAACTCACGTCCTTACTATGTGTAACTCTCGACTTGTCACCTTAGAGGTTCCAGACAGCCCTCTAACTGTGACACGTAGGCACCCAGCACCCTCCAACATGGAGAAGAATGGAGATTCTATCCTTTGCTCATTGACTTTGTTCTTGGACAAGCAGCTGTCTCCATTCCAGAGCAGGTTCTAGCAGGCCAGCTCTGTAGGAGACTGTCCTGAGCCTTGGTCATCCCACATACCTCCCCTAGGACACAAATGCCAGACTCCTTGGTGCACACGTGCAGCCTGAGGGTAACACTGATCCAGGGAGCGAATTTGTAGCCCCCCCCCCGGGGGCCTCACCCTGCAGCCTTTCCCATAGCCTTTGGCCTACATTTAGGCAAGGCTACATGAGGGAGGAGAAAGGTCACTCGTTCCACTCTTACCCTAGGCAGGCCCTTCCTGGTTATGGGACATCATGAGGCTAACTTCTCTGAAACTTGTCCTTTGCATCTGTAAAAAGGGGGTGATCAGTGGCATTCCATAGGTTGCCTGGAATACTAACTGAGAGGCCAAATGTCAGGCACCCTGTTGTATACACTGACCCACAGCATGCACCCAGTGGACAGGAATTCCTCCCCTGCCTCTGAATCTTAGCACCTGTACGCTATGGGCATGCACCAGGGATGGCTCCCCTGGTTACCCTGCACTATCCATGATAAGCTTTATGCAGGCAGGGGCTCAGTCTGGATCTTCTCCACAGGCCTCCAACTCCTGAGCCAGTGCTGAGTGGGATCTCTCCAACCAGCCCAGTGCTCCCCCCAGCGATTGAGTCTTCTAGTCAGTTGCTGCTCACTGCTCCTGGCATAAAGTTCCCACACACCCATATTTCTGAAGCCCTGTGGGATCTTGCCCAAGCTGATTTCCCAGCCTCATCTTCCTGATGCTGTTGAGCCACGTGGTTCTCCACATCTCCTGGCTTCTTGCTTGCCAGCCTTTGCACAACACCTCCTCGCCTGCACTTCCTTGCCTGCAGCTTCCTCCGCCTTTCCCCATCTTGGTGTAGAGACTCTGCCTGCAGGAAGACTTCTCTGTCTGCAGGAAGACCAATGTAAGCAAAGCATCTCATGACTACCTCCGTCACAGCTCCTAAATGATCACACCAAGGCTCTCCTTTTAATTTGCTTCTGCAATCACACATCATTCTTTCCTCAGTGAGCCAATGCCCAGCACATGTTAGGTACTCAGCAGACACCTGCTGGGCAGGAATACATGAATATACTTTTTTTCTTGCTGCCACTTGATCTACAGCCAGGGAAGTGATTGGAACTTAGGGCCAGTGGCTGCTGTTCTGCTAGAGAGCATTTTTTTTAACTCTGAGAAAAAGAGTTGGGAGGGTTGAAGACAGGCGGAGGTTTGAGTCACAGAGGACCTACAGTGAGAGAGGAGACAACTTGCCCATCACAAAGCCCTAGGGGCCTGCAAAACAAGGCCTAATTAATGGACACTCTTCTCCCAGCACTTTGGGCATGACGGTTCTCTAACTGCTGGTATGAGATGGAAAGAGCCGGGCTTTGGGAAAATTCCATTGCATTCCGGCAGCCGTGCTGAGGGACTTGGTGGATTTGTCCCTGATCCCTGTGCTGGGTGCTAGGGGAAAGAACATCCTGGCCTCCTCTGGCATCCCTTCAGAAACAGGGCCCTGGACCCGAGAGA